GCGTCGATGGGGTTGTATGATTTCTTTTTTGGCTCGGCGGGGTGTTGACGGGCTCGCCTGTTGGGGTATGAAACCAGAATGATCGCCGCGGGACGTGGGACCGGGGGTGGGACGATGGGGTGGGCGCGGAACAGAGTCAGTTACATCTGGCTCATACAGGCGGCAGCGAAACAGGTGTGGTTGTCAGGAACGTGTGCAGCATGGCGGCACATGTAGCAAGTCGTCCAAGTGGACATTGACACAGAGAGATCTCTCTGCCGGGGGCTGGTCGATACTCTGGCGCAAGCGAGTCCGCCTCGGTTGGTGATTGCAGCGTTTCCCTTGCAGATTGGTACGGTGCACAATGTGGGCTCAGGCGAGGCTAGATCGGTCACAGCATCTGGCGCAGCACAATATGGGCTCAGTGTCGTGATTCCCCGAGGGCGAGAGGGAATTCGAAGGGCTCGATCGAAGCAGGAGAGCAACAGGAAGACGGGCCAGGTCGCTCGAAAGGAGGAAAAAAAAAAAGGTGGTGTCCGAAAAGAAAATGGATGTTGATGGTGGTGGCCCTCGTTGAAACGGCGCGGCACGAATCGAGAGTCAGGTCGCTGCGTGTCTGAGAAGCAAAAGTGCGTCAAGAGGCGGCCAGTGGAGGTTCGAGGTTGGCCAGCGCTGGCTAAGAAGGTTAGGCTCTCGACGGATGTCTGAGCTCGAAGCCTCTGCCACGACGGTGATCAATGTGGTAGGTGGACAAGGTCAGGTTCTGGGCTTGTGCGTGTCTGACAGCTGAGGTTGATAAATCGTGTATGGCGAAGGAGACGGTGTCATTAGATGCAGCGATCGAGCTGAAGAGGAAAAAGGTACAGACGAAAAGGAAGCACTGGAATGGCGAGTGAGTCGCGATTGCGTTTTGTTTGAGGGAACGGACGGAGAAGTGCGGGTGGAACAAGTATGGCAGCGGGTCGTTGGACTGATGAGAAAAGGATGGGAACATGGGAAGCAATGATGTCGCTGCCCACCCCAGACCCTATTACCGTGCCTGCCTGTCAGATCGTGCCCGTCCTTGCTTCCTTCCTGCTCATGGGAGATGAGTATCGAATGGAAATTTCATCACTCCCGGCGGGTGCACCTGGCCAGCTCGCCCCGGTCAGGCCCCCCCCCTTCTTCCTTCCTTTTGTCACAGATCATTCCATCCAGGCGAATGCCCCTGCAGCGTAACTCGACCCTAGTCCAACGGTTAGGTGGGGTGCCCTGTGGAGATTGCGTTGCCTGCACTTCTATCTCCAGTGCTTGAAGCCCTGGAGCCTCCTGGTGACGCGCCCCAAGGGCAGCCTGAAGCCAGCCACAAGGGCATTTTCTCACAGGTCACCCAGCCGCTCTCTCACACCCATCGCGAAAAGCCCACAGGTGGCTCGGGCCCCGGCCGCTTTCCGCGCCGCTGGGACCGCCAGGGGGGCCGTACCATTCAAGGCGTTTTGGTGCCTGAACCATGCCCATTTAGGTATGGTTCCCTTATTGCTGGCACCCGGGTCGCAATCTCGTCTTTTGTGGCAGCGGTTCACGGGCTGGTGACCGAGCGGGCGAATGTTAAAGTCTTTCTCGCATGAGACGAAAATCTACCAGACTCCAGTTTATGGGGCCAGCCGCGTGCCTTGGTATTGATTTGTTTCCGGGAGATCGCGACAGTTGTTTTGTTTACTGGAGGAGGGCGCCTGCCTTTGCGGTGGGTTTCGCCCGGCGCTCTCCCAGCTGCCTGTTTCCCTATTGCCTCCCCTAACTCATAGTACAATCCGCCAATGCAGGCTCTCCCGAGGTGCATGCATGCTTCCTTCCTCGTCCCCCTCCCCATTCCTCCTCGAACGCCCAATGCCCGACAAAGATGCAGAGAGAGAAGGAGCCAAGGTCGATGCAAGTTGGACCTCGCTAGTTGGGCACTGCAACGACGCGTCGTCTGTGTTTTCCATATCCCAAATACCACCCAGCAACCAAGGGACGAGCTCAACCTCTCTATCCGACAATGCTGGCGAGTCAACTCTGATGAGGTCCGCCCACCCTGGCCTGCCCACGAAATGCTACCCCAACCAGGAAGGGGTCGATGGCCGGCCGGTTAACGGGATGGCACCTCCGCCAGTCTACCTGACGTGTCACATCATCTGGCCCGGTAGATTCTCCAGCGCGTTGGCACGACTGAAATCAAAAGGGTTCATGACGTGCGGTCGTCTCGCATCAGTTGTTTCAGCTTTAGGTGTTGACGATGATCTCAACTAGAAAAAAAGGTGTCGCTCTGTGCGTGGCAGCTGTCATTCACGAGTCCGTCGATATCATCAAGGCTTCCCCAGGCTTCCCATTTGCATTCCACGCCGCCGCGCTATTGCAACTAGCCTGCGGGCACCAACCTTGACACCTTGTGCCCTGCGTCGACCACCAGCCACCACCTCCCTGCATCGCAAGCTCGCGCGACTGGGCTTTCCTGGCAGTACAAGTGCTCCGAACGGCGACATGTCACGTGTAAGCGAGCAATTCGGGGTCAGCATCGAGACGTGGCCCTCGTTGTAGGCAGCGTGGTTTGCGGAGACAGCCGAGACGCATAGTAATGCGATTATGAAAAGGCCCCATTCATTCTGCCACTCGACACCTCATCTCACGATCAAAACAAACCTGTCTCACGGCCCCCCTCCGGATATTCGAGCGCCTTTGTTCGAAAGCCCCTCCACCAGGTTACCTAGCCAGGGAGGCCACCCGGAAATTCGCATCTTCTCTGCGGTCACTCCGACAAGCAGGCCAGGGTCGGAAAGCCTAACTCACACAAGCGTCATTCCATCGACCACGATTCAGTCGCCAAAGCTTGGACCCCCCCCCCCCCCCCGACTCGATCAGTCAGCCATCCGCATGGAGAATTTCCGGATAACAGGTCACTCCCGGGACTAGGGATCGCATCGACGCAAGAATGACGAAAGAAGAAAACGGACGCGGGAGCCCAGGGGGGTCATTGCCACGGACCTTGATGACGTTGCCCAAGTCTCCAGGGTGGTCTTCCTGCCGCCCACCAAAACAGCTTCAAGGACCAGCTTTGTTTGGGCTATAAGGGGGTGATCAGCAGCCAGGAGGAAAAACCCTTCTCCTGCAAAACAAAGTCCCAGGTCGTGGGCGCAAGAAGGGGGCGCACGCCGCAGGCTCCCGGCGAAACGAAATGGATGGGGGGCCATTTGGTTTCCCCAAGTTCCAGCATCAACAGGGAATGGACCGACTGGGGG